TGAAGGAACTTCTAACGTCCAACACTAACAATACTTTCGCGAACCTTGATTCAAGAAGGTCCTGAACGAGGCCGTCGCGCAAGGTTGATTACCATTCCTATCTCAATATTGTAACCATCAGATTTGCTACAAGGATAATAAATGACTTCAGTCGTTTTTTTAGACATCTACCGTTTACTTTTATTATTCTAACGTTTACCTTGTTTCAGGTGTACAATTTATAATCGTGTTTTTTTTGTTTTGCTACACAATTATAGTGATTTTCCACTTCTAGTGCCTTTACTATAATAGCATAATCACACGAAAATAATGTAATTAAAAAGAGTCATTGCCAAATATCGATTGCTACATTCCTTTTAATCCTTTCACAATTTTGTAAATGCCATTGTCAGGCTGTTATAAAAATGTATGTAATTTAAACTTTTAAGTTTTCTGTAGCGGTTTCGTGCACCAATCATATTCCGCCTAAAAACGTAAGGTAATGATGGAAATGCGAAACGCACGTAGTGGAGTATTAGCAAAAAACATAGTGACGAATTTAACCGAAGTGATATTTCATTTTCTGTTCAATTATCTTTTTACTGTGGATGTTTTTTTGACAATGAACTATCCTCGGAACTATCAGTTAAATTTAACTGAAAGCACAGGCCCTTTTGCTAAATTGAAGTGGCAAATAAGTTCAATTTTTCACAGTATAACCTCAGGATAATGGCTAATTCTTTTACATATATATAATGTCAAAAAGATCTTCACGCATCCATCATTTTTACAACTACGTTGCTGAAAAACAATAGCCACCATTTTCAAAGCCATCCGACGTTTTTTCTAAAAAAAGTTTTCGTGAACACGGGCAGGCAGACAGAAATACAAAATTATAAACGATCTCGAAGATCGTTAAAAAACGCTTAAGTAACCGAGCTGGACAAATCTGGAAATGTTGCATTTGGACAAAGGTATAGCTATGGGCAACCTAGATCAATTAAATATATATACAGGGTAAACATTTTTGTCTGGAACAATGGAATACAAGATTTTTTTAAAAGAAAACATTTTATGGTAATCAAAATTATAAAAAGATTTCTACCAATTTGCGTACTTTAAATTTGTGATTAGTGGCGTACTTCTGCGTGTGGTGAAGGAGGGGCTTTCGTTACATATTCTTAAAGAGCACACTTTTTTGCGTATAGCAACATAAAAAATATTAGGTATATTACATAGGTAAACAAATTTAAAAGAAAAACTCAAATTAAGAAAAATAGTTATTAATTTTATATTTCTCTTGTGTGAGAAAAAGTAGGTATTATTCTTTTGTTAGTTATTTCAAAGCAATTTATTACATTAACAATTATTAAAAATGTATAAGGAACTCTGGAGGGAAATCTATATGCATAAAAATTATTTACAGTTGCGAGCGTCTAGAGAATTAAGAGTGTCACTTTTTTAATGGAAAGCACTATTTCGTGACGTACTATGAAAGAATGGACCTTTTTTTAAATATGACAACATAAAATGACCAAACTGGTAAAATTATACAATTAATTATTTTCCTTAATTTGAAATTTGAATTTTTCTCTTAAATTTACTAAGTTTTTTATGCTGCTATTTCCAAAAAACTGTACTCTTTAATAATATGTAATGAAAACTAGTAGTTTCCATTAGAAAAATATGCCCCCCTTGACCATGCAGAAGTACACCACTGATCACACATTTAAAGTACCTCCGTAGGTTAGTAGTAAACTTTTTATAATTTTGGATACCATAAAAAACTTCTTTTCAAAAATGTTGTGTTGAAAATATATCCACTACTCCAGACAAAATATTTACCCTGTATAGTTTGTCTAAATTTTAATTGTCAATTTTTAAGCTACCACAGTGTAGTCACTTTTTTTCAAATATTGAAATAATGTAAATAAACAAAAGCTTTGGTGATCTTGATGCTAGCGAAGGGATTATTACTTGCTTTTACTGATACGTATTCATATATCAAGACCCATCTCCAATAAGTTTTTCCCCTTTGCATTTGTTTTTAGTCAACGATTGTTAAACGGATTAGACCTCATATACAGGGTGTTTCGACATTCGCGCACACGGACCATGGGACGGTGTTATACGACAAAAACTGAACAAAAAGTTCCTCTACCAGTTCTCCATCAGACCGCTATTTTTCGAGCTACCGCGGTTTTAAAAATCTCCGCCCCCCCCCTGCGCTGCGCCACTGGTTAAACTTAATAATAACACATTTTTAAAAACAAAAGAAGGTTCAAAATAAACTATAATTATGACGAGTCGAAAAAAAAGTGCCGGTCTGATCAAAAGCTGGTAGAGGAACTTTTTATTCAGTTTTCGTTGTATAACACTATCCCACAGTCCGTGTGCGCGAATTTCGAAACACCCTGTATACATTAATTATGTTATCCTTTCGCATAGTTTTCAAATACGCAGCGAATCAAGAATTTCGCTATAGGTATCGTATGCGCGGGGACACCCTGTTTATAGGAAGTTTTTTAATTTATCAAGAGTAAATTTGACGAATTTTTTTGTGTCTCTGTGTGTCCTCGGATAGTCTAGATTAACAATTGGGTCCGATCAGGTTATAAGATCGTTGCTCTTCGGGTTTCGGCTACTTGCGTGCTTTAATGTGGCACATCTGGTCAGTTTGCAATAAGAGATTTTGTTATCGGACGAGATTAAATTAACACGCGTGTTTTTATCGCTGTTAGAAAAGAGTTATGCAGATTTTCAACGATGGGCGCATTAGATTGGCGTAAGCGGCGATGCATTCTGTCGAAGATAGCGTTATCAAGGCTAATTATTATGATTGGCGCTTCATTTGTAAAAACTGGAAGAAGGAGAATTATGTTATTATAGAAGCGGTGTTTCGTTAAATACTGCAAGCAGGAGGCTGGAAGGTAGCTGGTTCGCGACGATTGGAAAAGAGTGCACGTCCCTTTACCCTGTTTTTATTCGGGCAGTTCACCCTATTTGATTAATTGAAGACGTAGTTTGTTTATATAATTCTGCCCAGAAGAAAGGTCATTGAAGTTCTAAGCGTTTGTGTATTGATTTAAGCGCGCACACCGTTAACCGACTAGATGATTATATTAGGATTATTAAGAAAAAAAAAACTGTAAGTAATTTTAAGATTTTCTTATTTCTTTTTTCGAACGCCTGCCGCGAGGTAATGTATCCAAACAAGCTGTGCAAGCTTCCCTTTCTTTCAGGAATTTTCTTTAATGTTCTATTCATGTGTTTCGGAATAATATAATTTTGTTATTGTCAATCAATTAATTGTGTTTATTCTGACTCATTGTGCGACTCGAATAGAGTTTTTATATCAGATTTTTCAACTGGCGTCTAAAATTTGTGTTGTGTTGACCGAATGCCATTGCACACAGCGTTATTTATTTGGCGCCCAACGTGGGGTCACAGCAATATAGTATAATTCAGCCTGTTGAGGGCCCAGAATAAGAGAGGGACAATAAATAAATAAACCACAGCGACGATGTAAAAAGTGAGGCTAGTGGTTCAATTCTTTTATTATAAATAGTAAATACATGGCGAAACTTGTGTGCATAGCATACATAAAACATACCAACGAATACAAAAAAATATTATTTCAAATGACTAAAAAAAACCCTATCCTATACCTATCATACAATGATCTTGATACTCGTCTTGATAGTAAGTGCATCAGGTACCAAAAAAAATTACAATTTTAACTGATATCCATTAATGATAACCTCGATGGTAACCTGTAGATTTGCTACAAGATCATATCGTAAGTATTCGGTCATGATAATGCGCTGAGGTGAAAAATTAATGATGTTTGCTAATTGTTTTTGCTCTTAGTTACCCATTACTCGTTACACATTTAAGGGTAGTTAAATATGACAGTGATATCATATCATGACGAAAGAAACATAAATGAATACCAATTAAAAACGCATCACCATCAGACTTTTAAATCATTTACGAAACGGTGTGTACGCAAATGGTACTATACTAACAATATTGTTTTGCAATCAACCCGTGTACTACTGCCACCGTACATTTTGCCTACCGATGTTTGAGCTGTTTTTTTTATTTGATCACTTATGGCATTGAGTAAAGCCCTTATATTAATCCATTAGTGGCTTAAATTTTGGATGTATAATATGTATCAAAATCAAACTACCATTCACTGCCGTATCTTTTAGACGAATTAAACCGTTCCATCGAAGCAGTGGTTCCCAACTTGTGGTCCGTCGACCAGACGTGGCCACTGGGGAGCCTTGGGGAGTGGCATGTTTAATTTACAATTCTAAGGGCTCTAACTATTTACTATTTCCCGAGGTATTTCCATAAATTTTTCCGACGCCCTCTCCTTTTTATTGCTAATTTGGACGCTGCTAGCCTTAGGGACGCTCTTAAGTGATTTTGGATTGGGAACCACTACACTTGAGGATAAAGTAAGGCTTAAAATAAATTAGAATAATAATACACTCACTTTTAACCCACAAGTGAGCTTAAGAAATCTACAATGTAGTCGAAATGCTCCTAAACGATCCATTAAAACATAAAATTTCATTAATGAAACGTTACGTCTAAATTGGCGGCACGAATTAGCGGAGCTGTAAATAGAAGAAAAATGAGCGAGTTCAGTGATGTTTCTAAAAATACATAGTTAACGAAAGTACGAAACTTAACAGACAATATACGAGACGTGTCTAAATTGAAATATATATTTCTAACAGTAAATGTGTGACCCTAGTATATCAAGTACAGTTAATCTTGGCGCAGTCTTCTACAACTAAAAAGCGTATATTATATTTGACCTCGTTATGATGCACTGCAGGCACTCGTAATTTAGACGACCCTGGTCAAACAGTTATAATTTCAGTCTAATATTATATTAACAAACAGTTTAATGGTTTTGCAAATCACGCCAATTCATTTTTATTGTTGCCATGTTGTCATCTAATTTGGAGCGGCTTGCATTTATTCTAATCGTGTATTTTTAGGTCTGGACGAGGCACAGCCACGGAATTCGAGGTTATTGCATCGGTTACGTCACAATTTTTGATAAACATTGGAATCTTGGTTTGGAAGAGGTGACTGAAACTTGGACCAGACCGAAACGCAGAAAAATTCCAGCGGGAATGGGTGAGATATTTTCATACGCATCTATTTCAAATTATGGGTGATCATATATTTTCAGAAATGCAAGAGTGCGAAATTTCGAAAGGCCGTTTAGTTCCTCCACCTATTAAAGTGATCAAAAGCGATGAAAAGTTTGAAACGTGTGAGAGACATATTGACCAACTTGTTATTAGAGGTGAACAAATTGTAATGATTGCCTTACTGTGTACGGGTGCTAAATAAATATTTTTGTACATTTTGAAATCAATCTTTCGTGAAAATATAAAGTAGTATAAAGGATCAGACGTGACAACCAGATTAAGAGCATAGTGAAGATTTATGAAAATCCTGTAATATATTAGCGTTAACGACCAACAAAGAAAATTGTTAATCCACCTTAATTAATTACAACTTTGAATTCATCTCCTTGGGAGTTCGTCATTACTATATATTAAACATAATTATCTTAAATAAGGATCAAGCAAAATGAAATTTATGTTCAAGCTTCACCTTCATTAAACTCAAAACTTTACAAAACTTGCACGATTTACTCGGATAAGCATTTCAATTCTAATAAACTTCCTGCAATATAAATCTTGTAGGTGAGAAGCTTTTTTAATAGGTACCAATTTTTTACTCCTGTCGGCAGTTAATAAAAAAAAGGTCAAAGGATTTCACACCTTCGCTTGTAATGTAATTTTCTAGACAGAATTTTACAGCATTAATACTCCATGGGAATGAATATACCAAGAAAAACTAGATGAAAATAAGAGGTTACACAAAGTTATTATAGATTCCGTATATTGCGTTTGCTTTCACTAGTTTTTTATTGCATAATTATTATACTGAAATTTCTCTTCCATAATTGTAGTGTTATCGTTGCAATTAATGGACTTCTTTTAGATGAACAAATTATAGCCCTAGGAACAGCACAGGTAACCAAGCTGTGAACTGTGAATAGGTGATTTAGGGCTTTTTACATAGGTCCGATCGACAACCACACGAGGGGTTGTTTAAAAATGAATTACAGGCATACGCTTGTACCTATCACACCTTACACCATTTTTTCAGAAAGGAGAAGTGGTCTGGTTTACTGCAGCGTTGGGTGTTGATCAACAAGGTAAGTTTAAACCCTCACACACCCACGGTACTGTATATAAGGTGAGTAAAAAGTCTCGGAACAGTCGATTATCTGGACGTATCTTTTTCTTAATTCCTAGCTTGCGCCCAGGTAGCTACTGCGATCACTGTTTTTTGGACATGCAAAAATTTCATCAAATGCCGACGTTTTAGAATGTTTAGATCATTTCAAGCAATTTTGCGAGATAACGGCTCGGCCGATTTTGTTAGAATTTTGGATATGTACCTATATTAGGCATACGAAAACGAAAAATAATCGACAGGCGGGAAAAATTTCATCGTAATCGGTTCATTAGTTTTCGAGGTATCGTGCTAACGGACAGATGGACAGACAAAATTTAAAATGAAGAACCTCCAAAGCGAATCTATCTGTGCGCGGCATTTTAGAACGCGTAACGTTTTCAACTAAAAGTTTGAAGATGAATTCGTATCATCGACGTATACGGAATAACAGCTGCGTAATTGTACATAGGTACGTGATAATTTTATCGCGAAAGTTGAAGTTAATTGTCGCATTACAAAAGAAAACTGTGTCGTCACTTCGACGAAATTATTGCCGTGTGTGCATTTCAATTTAATGCGAGCTACCATTACCAATAAAACTAATATAAAGTGGCGAAACTATACAAAGGAAACTTCGTTGTACAGAGGAATCGACAAGTTGGCTGAATATGTTACGAACGGGTTGTATTGTTAATACGTGAGCGAACACTTTCGTGTTATCGCGCATGAAGAAAGCTGTTACCACGTTGTGGTCCAGGATGCGAAATGTTTACTACTAAATTTCGACAAACCAGAAGCCTAGTTTGCTCCTCATTTGAGTCGTCAACCGTCTTTCAAAATTCAGTTTCAACGAGCAGTCAAAATTTATGAGGCGATACCAATGGTTCCATATGGTATTACACAAGGCGTTCCGCCGTTCAATTTTCCGAATTGGTTCTACCTTTCAAAAGGAGATTTTGTATAAAAAAATTCGAAATCAATTTAACATTCTTGAAGAGGTCGACCCACAGAGGTTTATTCCAGATTTGTATATTTTTGCAATTAATTGTTACAGTAAAATTTTTACCAGTGTCGTAGGGAATAAAATTTATTTTATGCAAGTGAAACTTTCAACCCCTGTAGTAAAAACTAAACCGTTACATTTTGACGTATATGTTGTCAATTTGCTGCTCACTTCAGGAATCTACACTGGTTGTTTTTATTTTACAATTTTTTTGGTATAACTTGTTAATAATTACAAAAAAAAGAATTTCAATTTGCTGCTACGCATTAAATCACAAAATAAGAAAATTCAGTTCATCTGTTTGAAATTTTTTTGTTTTATTTGAATCATGTGAACCATTTTTTCAATTTATTTCTTTTTTTAATTTTTTTAATTAAGGAATTTTTCAGAATTACTTAAATTTTTTTTTAAATCATCACTCGTTATATTTCTGAAAAAATTATTTAATATACTATCTTTTTAAATTAAAATATACTACGTGTGTCATTTAATGACCTAGCTAAATGTAGAAATGCTAAGTCACAAAAATTTAAAAAAATTCTGAATCGGCCCGCGGTGCAGCTGACGACGTTTAGACTATCGACATTACTAGAAATACCAACCCCTATGAAAGTAATTAGGATTGTCAGGCGAAATGTTGCCAAATAATATATCAAATTTAAAAAAATCTGCATGGACCTGCAACCGAACTCGGGCCGCTCGCGCGGTGGCCGCTGTAACCTTTTTACGTGTCGGTTCCAGTACAAAGGAAGATTAAGTGTACTTAAGTTAACTCACAATACTTTCAAATATTTAAAATGTGCACAGTGTGATTTTGGAATACATCATCACCATATCCCAAAACGGCATTTCTTAACTCTCAAAACCACGAAAGATTTAAAATGTGGACACTGCAATAGCATTATATGGAAATGTTAGGCAATGTCAATGTCAATAGATTAAAAAGGTAACGAGATTCTTCGGAATAGGCGATAAAACGTTCAGGTCTGCTATGATGTAAAATAAAAATGAATGTTTGTCTATCTGTCTGTCTCTTATGCGTGTGTAAACCGTTCATACGATTGCGATGAAACTTTGGGGAATAGGTGTCGACTATGTATTTGAGAAAAACACTATCCTAAATTCCCACGCAAACGGGAACAGAAAAAAACAAGATTTAATGTTTTACAGTAGGAAAAAGACTTGACATTTAGAATGTAGGTTTCTTCGGCGGCGTAAAGATGTAGGTAGGTACTCCGCAAGAACTTCCCACGGGAACGGGAAAAAACGGGATTTCCCAAAGGCCGTATGACTACTAGCAATAAACAAATGTAGTGTTTCACGTGTTACCTAATGCAGTTAAAAGTCCATACCGAGGAGTATTTCACTGCTGGTAGTACGTGTAGTAGTACGTGTACAAATTGTAGGCAGTGCATACGAGGACCAGTAGTACACTGGCAGGATCGGGCAGGACCAGGCAGTATCAGGTAGCACATAATATACAGGACCTGGTAGTACACTGGCAGGACCGGGCAGTACCATACATCACATTGGCAGCACCTTAGTACACTTCTAGGACCAGGTTGTATTTTGTGGGAATGCCAACATTATAAAATAGAAAACGCGTATCTCGTCATACGTGTTTTAATTGTTCAGATTCTGTCTTAGTTTGTGTGGTGATTGTGTTTGGTGTTACATGAAAAATTGAAGAACGAATTTGAAACAAAATTTTGATTTTACTATACGAAATTGGTCAAAATCACAATACAAACAGTGAAATGAAACGTGGATGTGAATGAAATCCGTGATTTTTTCTTTTTCTTTCCCCTAAAGTCGTGTAAGCTTAGATACGTATTGATAATGGGGTTCTGTCACTTTCCATTTGCATTCTAGAATAACGTATTTTTAACTTGTGTCAGCGATTCTATTATTATTTTGGTAAGCAAGAGTTCCAGTAGATTCCCTAGAGCACCGCAATTATTTCGTTTGGCTGACGCTGACGCGTCCTATTTTGATCCTTTTTTTTAAATAAAGAGGCGAGTAGAGTAGAGTTTATTATAATGTCCCCCAAAATACAAGGCAATTATATGTTCCTTTAATTAAGCAGTCTTAGCTTTTAGCGTTGTAAAGTTGTAAATAAAGTACCTACTGATAATTGCAAAATTTTTTATGGCATTAATTTAAAACAATGTCGATAAGATTGTCCCAAGGATTGTCCTACGTTTCGCGGGTCACGGCAGTATGCAAACAGGACCTGGTAGTACCTGGAAGTATACGTGCAGGACCTGGTAGTACATCGGAAGGAATTAGCAGTACTTGGCAGTACCCGGCAGCAAGCAGAATTACTGGCAGGAGAGGGGGAGTACTGCCAATTTCGGCAGTACGTGTACAAAAATTTGCTCAGTGAAAGACCTCTCGGTCCATACCAATTTTTAAGCGTTATCGAGTACATGTATGCACTTACTGAAGTAAGTACTTACATTGCACACACCCTCGGCTATTATTGCACAAAAAATGCACAGATTGCACAGAAATTTCACGCATTGCACAAACATAGCAATATCCCCCCCTGGAGACAACTATCTGGAACCGGGGAGGGTGAAGTAACTTAGGCTAAATTTTATTATTTATTGAGAGGAACGGGCTCTGGATCCAGTTGCGAAAGAAAGGGGGTAGGCACTATGGGCCTAAGTGCTGTCTAGTCGGGCTCCCCTGTGCATAGATAAATAGATGGAGTCTCGGATAGAGTCTAACCACTTGATTGAGAATTGCAATATTTATTAAATTAGCACACAGAAAGGCGTTTTGTAACTATTTTTCTCAATAATTTTGTGTTCAATAAACCGCAAATTTATTATTCATACCTAAATGGTTAATTATAATTCGAGTTATAATTGTTAATAATATCCGATACGCTTTATTAATTATCCCAACAAAACGAATTAATTCACGTCAATTTTGCAATTAAATGAATTCGTTTGACAAATTACCCGTGATCAGTTCTAAAGCATTAGTGCTGCTCGTAAAAAAAGTTTTTGGAGTCGCTAGTAGGATGCAAGTTTTGAAAGTAGGATACTAAAAGAAATAGTGCAACAACTTTTTGCATACACTGTGGAAAGAAGTCGGCGGCAGTTCAAGT